ACTGTTTTAGCTATAAGCTTATACTAGATGCTAGCTTATATCCTTTAAAACTAACAACATACTCATACTAACATCTAAACACGTTATGGGACATTTAAATGATACATAATAATAAACAATAAAGGTACAGATGGATATAAAATGTGTCTGAAACACAAAATCAGGCATGAATTGTTCTTCCAAAGAAATTTAATATACTGAACATGTGCAAATCTACAGCAGCGCATTTTTAAAACAGTCATTGATAAACAATCTGCTTCGGTAAGAAGGCAGGAAGCCCAAACACAACTAATTATATTTTATATATATATATATGTTTTCATATTCAGTGGCAATATGTGATAAACAGTAGTTTCTCTCTCAGGATAGATAGCGTCTCTTCTCTTAGAACATTTATATTTACATGAACACATAAAGCTATGTTTGAATGTACAGATGTAAACCATTCTGTTATATTTACAAGAACACATAAAGCTATATTTGAATGTGCACATTGTTATTATTCGATACACTGAAAAACGCAATTCATGAACAACATTGAACAACGGTCCAATCTGAAACAAAAGCAAATTTCTACAAGCCAATTTTTCAATCAGGGCTCATTCTGATTACGTACCCCTGTATACATTTCTGGAGAGAGCAAAATACGTCTCAGGAGCTACGTTTTTTTGCAGTTGTTTTTTTCGTGAATCTTACAGAGGTCGCTGTGCTTTTTCGATCTCAAATTGCTTTCACGATTGTCATTCACACCTGCTGTTCTCACGTAAATCCACCAGAGGCTGCTCTCGACTGACTGACTGACTAAAGGCTGATTTATACTTCTTCGTCAAACGCATGCGTATGCTACGGCGTTGACACATAGCCCTTTGCCGTGGCTGTCGGCATCGCTGACGTGCACCTCTCAAAAAATGTAACTACACGTCGCAACGACACGTAGCGCAAGCTATGTGATTGGTCGGCTTGGTAGCGCTGATGAGTCTGGGCGGGGCCGAGAGCCGCGCGAATGGTGCGAGCCTGATGGAGCGATTGTTTACAAGTGTGAAGGAGCTCCTGATGGAAAGTTTTGTTTTGTGTTTACCTCATAGTTAAAGTTGTTGCACGTCCGCCGGTTCCTGCCTCAAAATGAGCGAGTTTGAGCCACTTGTACATCCAGGAAGTGTTCAGGAAAACAAAACAGCAGCGAAGAAACTCGACACAGAGGAACATTCACACCTCACTGCCAACTAGCGTTTCGGAAGTGTTAATGCAGACCAACAGATGCATTATGCAAATGCAAAAAAACAAATGCACAGCTACGCACGTTGCATGCGCCTTGGGTCACGCCGGTCACTTGACGCAGAAGTATAAACCAGGTTTAACAGACCAATCGCCCCCACCCTCCTCCTTATGCCTAGTTCAGAGTGCGTGATTTTAGCCCCGATTTTGGCTCGCCGACAGGTTTTGAGAAATCGCCGACAAATGCCTGAAATCACAGGCAAATCGCTGCTCGTGCATGTGAGTGACAATCACACAGTATGAACAATCAAAGACGCGATCTGAGAGAATCGCCGATGAGTCGCCGATGCCTGCGAGATATTTGACTTGCTAAATATCTGGAGCTGTCGGCGATTCAAATCATGCCGTGTGAATTAAGTTTTGACTGAAAATAACATCAGCCATCGCCTACAGCCAATGAGAGAGCAGCTTTCACTTGTGTGTGTGTGTGTGTATACCTGCTGCAGGCCAGCGGGAGGCTGGGGGAGAAGTTAAAATCGCTCTTTTTTCGGTTTATTTGGACCCACGAAATGGAGGAAAAACTAGTGGAGGTTTGACAGGACTCAGGAGCACCCGTGTCTGTTTGACGTTTCATACAGAAAGAAATTAGTTTATTATCAATGTTGAGGAGAAATGGCTAATTCCCTTTAAACCCAGGTGAGCAAACATGTACATGTTCTACCCCATTAAAGGTTTCTTTCTCATTATGTAGTTAATAAAAGATATACTACATGTTTTTGGCTGTAAGACGTAGTTTGGACGAAGTTGTCGGCGATTCTCCCTATATTAAAGTCATGCAATGTGAATGCCCCTGTCGCCGATCCATCTTGCAGTGTAAACAAAGCAGCGACGAAACGCCAGCCCAGATAGTCATGCAGTGTGAAAACATCTGTGACACGACTACTTTGAAAATCATGCAGTCTGAACTCGGCATTACCTAAACCCAACCATTAGTATTTTTAAAAGCACTAATTGACCTGCCCACACACTTCCCTAAACCCAATCCTCAGTCTACATAATTTGTGATCTCCAGAAACGTATATAGGGCTACATTTTCAGCCTGTGTTGGAATTTATTGTTTATTTTTAAAGGGATAGTTCACTCAAAAATAAAAATGCGCTCATCCTAACCACCTAATCCAACTTACAAATTGTCAAATCAGTTTAAAGTGGTAAGTTAGATGGACATATTTTTGAGCTCAGTGTTGAGTTTACTTAAAAAAACATTTAACTATGTTTAATCAAAGTAAAGAATTCAGTTGAGGATACGTAAAAATTTGATTTCCTCATTTGAGCGTTGACTTGAGTGTCTGTTTAACACAAAAGAAGAAACTGTGAAGAATGTTAGAAAAGCCGGCCATCGACATCCATAGTAAAAACAAAGAATACTTCTTGAGGGTGCGTGACTTGTAGCTTGTAACTTGTAACATGAAAGGGGCGTAACTTGTAGTAAGTTAGCGAGGTATAACTTGCAGTTATCGAGATCCAATTGAACCGTGCAAGATGTCACAGCGACGTGTTGTTGGCAAGATGGCAGAAATACCTACCGGAGAACCTTTTCAGCAAATGTTTTCATGCGTTTTCTCTAAATTTATGCACAGCCTATTCATTTGATATATTAGTTTATTCATTCATTAAGCATCTCCACTCGCTGACTGCTTCATCCGTTTTGTCATGACAGTTAGCCTGCTTGGCGTCGCCCCCTGTGGTTGCAAATAACAGTACAATGGTGAGCGTGTCAAGCCTTTGCAACTCACGGCTATACGTTAACAACTGTAATGGTTGGGTTTAGGGTTGGGGAAGGTGTAGATGTTAATTACTGATGGCTGGGTGTAGAGTTGTCGTGGGTGTAGACGTTAATAGCTGTGGTAGTTGGGTCGTTAGTTGTAGACGTTAGAAACTATGATGGTTGGGTTTAGGGTTGGGGAAGGTGTAGACGTTATGAACTATGATGGTTGGGTTTAGATTTGTAGAAGGTGTAGACATTAATAACTGTGATGGTTGAGTTTAGGATGTGGTATGTATAGACATTAGTAACTGTGATGGTTGGGGAAGGTGTAGACATTAATAACTGTGATGGTTGAGTTTAGGATGTGGTATGTATAGACATTAGTAACTGTGATGGTTGGGGAAGGTGTAGATGTTTATACCTGTGATGGTTGGATTTAGGGTTGGGGAAGGTGTAGACATTAATATCTGTGATGGTTGGGTTTAAGGTTGGGGATAGGTGTAGACATTATTAACTGTGATGGTTGGGTTTAAGGTTGGGGATAGATGTAGACATTAATATCTGTGATGGTTGGGTTTAAGGTTGGGGATAGATGTAGACATTAATATCTGTGATGGTTGGGTTTAAGGTTGGGGATAGGTTTAGACATTAGTATCTGTGATGGTTGGGTTTAAGGTTGGGGATAGATGTAGACATTAATATCTGTGATGGTTGGGTTTAAGGTTGGGGATAGGTGTAGACATTAGTATCTGTGATGGTTGGGTTTAAGGTTGGGGATAGATGTAGACATTAATATCTGTGATGGTTGGGTTTAAGGTTGGGGATAGGAGTAGACATTAGTATCTGTGATGGTTGGGTTTAAGGTTGGGGATAGGAGTAGACATTAATATCTGTGATGGTTGGGTTTAAGGTTGGGGATAGGAGTAGACATTAGTATCTGTGATGGTTGGGTTTAAGGTTGGGGATAGGAGTAGACATTAGTATCTGTGATGGTTGGGTTTAAGGTTGGGGATAGGTGTAGACATTAGTATCTGTGATGGTTGGGTTTAAGGTTGGGGATAGGTGTAGACATTAGTATCTGTGATGGTTGGGTTTAAGGTTGGGGATAGGTGTAGACATTAGTATCTGTGATGGTTGGGTTTAAGGTTGGGGATAGGTGTAGACATTAGTATCTGTGATGGTTGGGTTTAAGGTTGGGGATAGGTGTAGACATTAGTATCTGTGATGGTTGGGTTTAAGGTTGGGGATAGGTGTAGACATTAATATCTGTGATGGTTGGGTTTAAGGTTGGGGATAGGTGTAGACATTAGTATCTGTGATGGTTGGGTTTAAGGTTGGGGATAGGTGTAGACATTAATATCTGTGATGGTTGGGTTTAAGGTTGGGGATAGGTGTAGACATTAATATCTGTGATGGTTGGGTTTAAGGTTGGGGATAGGTGTAGACATTAGTATCTGTGATGGTTGGGTTTAAGGTTGGGGATAGGTGTAGTAGACATTAGTATCTGTGATGGTTGGGTTTAAGGTTGGGGATAGGTGTAGACATTAGTATCTGTGATGGTTGGGTTTAGGTTTAGGGAAGGTGTAGAAGTTAATGATGATGGTTGGGTTTAGGGTTGTGGTAGGTATTAACGTTAATAACTATGATGGTTGGGTTTAGGGTTGGGGAAGGTGTAGACGTTAATGATTAAAACAATGATTAAAAGGGTTAAAGGATTAGGGTTAGGGTAAGTTACACCTCTACTACAAGTTGCGCCCCCTACATGCTACGGCCCTGTCTTGCAGTCTGCAGACAGACCCTGCTCAAAGAAACAGGTTTGGAACAAATGTAAAATGAGTAAACAATGACATAATTGACATTTTTGGGTGAACTGTCACTTTAGTATGGACCCTTTTCACATTTCTGGGTTTCTCAGCAGTGAAAGTCATCATGGTTGGTAAACTTAGAGCGCAGTGAATGGGAAAGTACAACAAATATTTTTTTTACAATCCTATTTGCTGAAATAATAAAATAAAAACTCCACGATGGTGTTATCAAGACTTTCAAAAAAAAAGGAAAAAATAGTGTGAGACTGATAACGGCAGCCGGAAGAGAGAATAATGTTAAATGGACTGTCCCGCTCCCATACACACTGCGCTAATTCGTTTTTTGTAATTTGATCCAAAGATGATATAATACATACGTAAATACAAATAAATGTTCACACATTTTTAAAAAAGCGTCATAACAGTCTTGTGAAAAGGGTCCATTGTTTCAGAAGTGTTTGACTAGCCAGATTAGTAAAACTGATGATATTTTATGGACCGTGTGACTGTACGTAGCTATTTTTGCAATGGCTGATGTTTGCTGCAATGTTAGCCGTGGGCTTGGAGCTTCTGAGCAGCTCCGTGGCTGAGATCCGCTCTCCGCAGCCGGCTTTGGCGCTTCGTGTCCTCCTCAGGAAAGCCATGAAGTTGTCGTTCTGAGAACTGATCCGTGAAGCTCCGCTGCCGAGAGTCTGAGTCCCAGAGTCTCCTTGCTTATTGTCGAAGGAGTCTTTGCGACCCAGGAGCTTTCTTTTAGACCTGCAAAATGTGAAACATAAAGTCATTTTATTTTTTGATAAGAAAGCAGAGTTCATTTTCATTTGTTACAGTTGTCATTTCACAATATATTTTGTTCGCTTTTCCTCAATAACATTTCGTTTAAGTAGGAATTCACAGCATTTAGGCCTGTCACCATGTCTTTTTTGTGTCGTACGATATATTGCACCAAAATATACAGCATTTTACGACCATCTTATGCCACTCATTGTATAACGCCAGAATCACAATATAATATCATCACAATGCAAGTAAACACTTCCAAAGAACACATAATATATTTCATTTAATTATAGTCAGTTTAATAATGAGGCATTGGAATCAGAATGTGAAAAGGCATATCCATAAACACTGAAAAACTGTGCTTTATGATAGGTGTCATGCACATCTTTATTATTACCTGTGAATGATGGTGAACAGGTCCTCCGTGGTTTGGGATTTGGACTTGTAAAGAAATACATCGTCTCCTTCTCCTACTAACTGTAGTGGTCCGAGGTCAGGCATTCGATCCCTCTTCTCTACATCGTATGACGGATGATCTGTTGACATAAAGAAATTCATTCATTCATTTTCTAGTCGGCTTAGTCCCTTTATTAATCCTGGGTCACCACAGCGGAATGAACCGCCAGCTTATCCAGCACGTTTTTACGCAGCGGATGCCCTTCCAGCCGCAACCCATCTCTGGGAAACATCCACACACACATTTATACACCACGGACAATTTAGCCTACCCAATTCACCTGTACCGCATGTCTTTGGACTGTGGGGGAAACCAGAGCACCCGGAGGAAACCCACGCAAACGCAGGGAGAACATGCAAACTCCACATAGAAACGCCAACTGAGCCGAGGTTCGAACCAGCGACCCAGCGACCTTCTTGCTGTGAGGCGACAGCACTACCTACTGCACCACTGCGTCACCCGACATAAAGAAATAAGTACCTTAAATATGTTGCCAGAAAGCAGGTTGATCTGTGTAATGCACCGCAAACCAAGCTCATGGAAGCACTGACAGAATACATGCAGTTTGTTCATTTATTTAAAAACGTAACACGACGCATTCAGCGATTCAACATCATACACACAAGAAGAGCTAATTAAACAAAGGAACTTTACTGTGCTCAGAGAACTTAGTGCTAGAGTTAGAGTACTTAGTAAGGTACAATTCCTGAGAAAAACTACTCAGAGTAATTTGAGTATTTGTAATTAATTACTTTACACCACTGAACCCTAAAATCGATGTCATAAATATTTTGTGCGTAAATAAAATTCAGGCATCTGTAATTATAAAATCGTAAAGGAAAACGGAACATACTTATAATTTTACGAGGGTACAATTCCAAAGTCTGCGATTAGAACAGACACAGATACGACATTTTCTTTATCTGTTTGTATCTGACTGATAAATTTTAATTTAAAGGTTACTTAATCAACAAACGTCACGTTATAGTTAAACACCTTTAAGTCATTCCTAGAGAAATTCTGCCCTCACTGCCTGTATTGTTAACTTACATTATGCTAGCTCACTATTCTCGGCCTGTTTTAATTTTGATTCTGTAAAATGTCCAAGAAACACAGCAAAAATGGACCTCATTAAGTCCCAACCTTTATTACAGCTCATGACGGACATTTCTCAAAGAGGGAATAACAAAAATCTTACCTGAGACGGTGTGTGGGGGCTCTGAGTGCCCAGCAAGCGCACCGTTGTGGTCGATGGCTCTCGCTTGTTTATTAATGCTTGTGACAGCCGTGATGTAATTTTGACAGTGGAGTGTCGCTGTTTGATTCGTACTGGCAATCACTTTGTCATGTCTGTTGTGATACTGTATTTCGTGTTTGTGAAGTACACACATCGTACATTTATCACTCATATACAAACAGACAAAGAAAGTGTCGTATCTGTGTCTGTTCTAATCGCAGATTTTGGAATTGTACCCTCGTAAAATTACGAGTATGTTCCGTTTTTCTTTACGATTTTATTATTACAATTGCGTGAATTTTATTTATCCACGAAATATTTTTGACAGCGATTTTATTCCATAGATCCCTAGTTTATTGTAGTTCTTGTCCATTGCAGTTGTCTTACCTGGTTCCCTCGAGTGCTGTGGCTCCGTGACCAAAGGGTACGATGGTATCACGCCATACAGAGTTACATGAAATTGACTTGCGGAGGTCGGAGATTTTGGAGACTTGCAGAGATTAGTTGGAGACTGGGCATCGGCTGGGTTTGGATAAAGTGAGCCGTCCACATCTGGAGTCTTTGCCAGAGGCGGTGTAGGGGCTCTTCTCTTCTTGTGAAGCTGGCTAATGCGGCTGGCTGTGTTTAATGGGGGAACTTTTGCATTCTTTGACTCTAAAGTGCATGGGGGTTGAGGTTGACGGGGGTCTCTCATCTGTGGAGAACGAGCATCCGGAACAATCTGCTGCCTCAGATGAGGTGCTTGTTCAATGCTGTGCGGCTTTACGCTCACTGTAGGTTTGACTTTGTTAACCATTGCGTAGATGTCTTCTGATCTCTCGCTGACTGTTGGCGGTTCTGCTTCAGAAGTTGGCCCAAAGCGTTGTGCGTTGGGTGGCCACTTGTTTCTCTGCGGCTTCGGAGCCACGGGAGGTTTGGGTTTTTGGCTGCTCTTAGGGCTGAAGGATTTTCCGCATCTCTCCGTCTCCTCCTCGATAATGTTGGCCGTGATTTCCTGAGCGTTCTCCAGATCAGAACTGCTGACGGAGCGTAGCTGCACGTTGTTCAGCTCCTCTTGAGTAACCATCGGCATTACCAGCAGGCTGCTACTCATCCTTTGCTTGGGCCTGGTGGCTTCGGTGCTGTCCGAGTTGCGTCTTAGGCTCACTTTCGGCTGCACCGCGGAAGGCTCTGGATCGGGAGTGTGCTTCTGAAATTCTGGAAGCTGAAGAGACAGCCTTGCGTTGCGGTTTCTTGCTCTTTGGCCAGGAATAACACTGGTCGGCTTATGCCGCATCCTGCAGGCTAATGGCGAAGGTCCCATGCTGACCGATTGGGAAAGGGCTGATTGGGTTGGAGTTTCACACTGGCTTGCGTAGCCACTGGATGGAGAGTTTGAGCCGATGCGCTTCGAAGGAGAACAGATGGACGGCTGAGATGTGGAAGAGTGCGAAGAGGACGGGGATGTGTTCATTTCAGAATGACCACATTCGTGGATTGGCATGGGAGTTGGTTCGCTGGATCGAAGCTCATTAAGTGCTTTGTGGGAAGAAACCGTTGCCATCAATACGACCTTACCAGGTGCTTCAGGAGTGCCCTTACTGAGTTCTTGCTTTGAGGTTGGGATGAGATCTGGCAGTTTTGTGGTATCTTTTTTAAGGCCTTGCACTTTATGTTCTGAATGCTTTGCCGCTGCGAGCCTTTGCAGTGAGACTGTTCGCACAGGAGGAGCAGGTTTGCTTTTAGCCTTCCTAAGGATAATGCTCCGGGATCTGGATCTTGGCACTGCATCTGGAAGAAGATCACTCCTCCTGGCCGACGTGCTGTCACTGCCGCTGTCTTCCGAGCTGCTGCTGGGATAGGAAAGAGCGTAGCTTTCACATCGGCGTCGGACCACACCAGGGTTGGAGTTGACAGCGGTGGAAAGTGACAAGGAGCGTCTGTGGAGCTCGATGTTACTCGCTGGTCTACTCCTACGCTCTTTTTTCACACCATCCTTTTCTCGTCTTTTCACAACAGCGGTGCTGGTGGGTGATGCTGGACCCGGCTCCTCTGGATCCTGAAACTGCGGAGGGGGTTTGATCACGTCGGGTGCCTTGAGAAAGGAGTTCATTTTATCATCCCACTCCGATGAAAAGGTGGAAACATTGGGGCCACACCAGCCCTGGGCAGAAAAAGCCAAGGCTGTGTTTTCCATCTTGAATTTTAACGTGTCATGAATCCCATCGGCTGCGGCTAATGTTCTCGAAAAGACACAACCTGGGGCGACAGAAAGAGGAATTCATTACAGGGCTGTGATGTTAAAAAATGAAGATCTAGTTCATCTTAAAATTAAAATCCCTTCATCATTTGTTCTCCTTCACGTGGACTTAAACATTTATTAGTTACTTTCTTCTGTTGAATCCTAAAGAGGATATTTTAAAGAATGCTTGGGTTGCTGGCACCCATCCACTTCCATAGTCGGAAAAAAAATTACAATGGACAAACAATTAACATGTACAAAGAAGACTTGTAGTAAGGGAATTACTCCAGTTTTGGTTTCCTTATACTTGTTACCTGTAGATGCTAATTTTTAAAGTGCGGCATTTTCCGAAAACATATTGATGAACATTCATTTTCTTGTCGGCTTAGTTCCTATATTAATCCGGGGTCGCCACAGCGGAATGAACCGCCAACTTATCCAGCACGTTTTTACGCAGCAGATGCCCTTCCAGCCGCAACTCATCTCTGGGAAACATCCACACACACATTCACACACTCATACACTATGGACAAATTAGCTTACCCAATTCACCTGTACTGCATGTCTTTGGACTGTTGGGGAAACCGGAGCTCCCGGAGGAAACCCACGCAAAGTCAGGGAGAACATGCAAACTCCACACAGAAACGCCAACTGAGCCGAGGCTCGAACCAGCGACCTTCTTGCCTTGAGGCGACAGCACTACCTATTGCGCCACTGCCTCGTCCTTGATAAACACTTAATCTTGATCAATCTTGATCAATTTAAGTGGCTGCCCCCAGACTATAGAACCATCTTCTTATGCACAGGTGTCAAACTCAGTTCATGGAGGGCCACAGCTCTGCACAGTTTAGTTCCAACCCTAATTAAACACCCATGATCAAACGAATTGAGTGCTTCAGGCTTGTTTGATACCTACAGATTGGTGTGTTGAAGCAAGGCTGGAACTAAACTCTGCAGGGCTGTGGCCCTCCAGCAATTGACTTTGACACCCCTGTTCGAATGTATATTAAAGAAATACTACATTTTGCGGGGAGGGGCGACTTATTTTACAACCCTAGACTTGAACAATTGTTTATTTACTTTATAATCCATCTCCAGGTCTGGCTGGAGCACTTTTAGCATATCTTAGCTTAGCTAATTGAATTGGATCAGATTATTAGCATATTGTCCACAAAAGTTATTTATTTTCCTACAGTATTTGAAGCTTGACAATTCTGTAAGTATATCTTGTACGAAGACCAACAGACAATTAAATGTTGATAGGCCTATATGGGTAGGAACTATACTCTCAATCTGGCGTAATAATAAACATAGGCTCATTCTGAAAACATAGTCCTACAGTATATATGTTTTTGAACCATGAATTATGTATCCAGAGCTACATATGGCTGCATTTCATCTTTAAAACAAACGCTATGGGGCGGTATTGACGGCGTTCCTTTTTGGGCTTACCAGCTGACCGCTTAGCTCTGTGTGGGCGGCTTTACCAGCGTTACCAGTTTGTCCGGTAGCTTGACATGTACACGTACTTGAGCACAGAGCGGAGTTTATGGCGACAACAGGGTTTAAGTCTGGTGAAGAACAATTCCAAAAAGCGCGCAAGGCAAAAACAAAGGCTAAAAAATAAAATAAACAAGTAAATAACAGAGTGAGGACATAGTAAAATCTGAAAACGTGGTAAAAATCAGGCGAGGGCTTTTCTTTTTATGCATTGCTTCCTAAAACACTGCGGTTGGCTATAGGGAAGTGGGTCTGCGGCGGTCAATCGGTGCTTTTTTAAACACTATTGGTTGGGTTAAGGGAAGGGGGTCGGCTGGTTGATCGGTTAGTCAGTCAGTCAGTCGACAGTGGCCTCTAGTGGATATACATGAGAACAGCAGGTGTGAATTGTACTTGTGAGAGAAATTGGAGATCTGAAAAACTGTACACAGCGCCCTCTGGTGGATTCGTGAAAACATAAACTGAAAAATGTATCTCCTGGGACATATTTTGCTCTGTTCAGAATTGTACATAGAGGAACGTAATCAGACTGAGCCTGGGTTTGTAATAATCAAGGAAGTTTGTGAAAATGCAAAACTCTAAATCAACATTAAAATTGGACTATTTTCAAACCCTTTAAATTGTTCCCAATTGTAGATGCTTCTAACTATTTAGTGAAGCTTTCGTAGTCGATTGTATTGCATTGGATGGAAGTCAGTGGGTGCCAGCTACCAGCATTTTTCAAAATATCTCCTTTTGTCTTCAACAGTAGAAACTCAAATAGGTTTTAAATGTGAAGGGCGAGTACATGATGGCAGCATGGGTGAACCGTCTTAAATATTTAAACACTTTTCCCCATGAAATACCACAGAGTGTGATCATCACCATACTAATGCTTTAAACTGAGCCGACTCAAAAGTGTGGAAGGGAAAATTTGCCCATCTTGGTCTTTGTTTGGCACATGAGTGGGAGTTTACCATGGCAACAGTTACCTGTTCATCCATAAAGAGATAGAGAGAGAGCAGACTCAAGAGAAATCTCAGCCATATTTGCACATGTGTTTATTACTCTCAGAAGCACTCACAAACAGCAGAAGACAACACAATGATAATATGAAGGCAGTTTAATAGCACAAAGCTCACAGTATTACTTTAATTGACGTTTACAATATGCAGCTATCTGGACAATTACTTTTTAGGTGAGGTTACAAGGACCCTCATACAGAAATCTGATATAAGGCCATATATATATATATATATATATATATATATATATATATATATATATATATATATATATATATATATATATATATATATATATACATACATACAGGGTTCAACGCAAAGGATTTTTTCTACTGGTCCGATCGGGCCAATGGTTTCGATTTTTACTTGCCCGGCCAAAATTTCCACTGGCCCCACCAAAGAAAAAATCAAATTTAATAGCTATTTTTTAGCCACATATTTTAAATAATGTGTCAAAAATAATGCCTATAATTATTTAAATGTTAAAAATTATTTAAATAATACTTTTAAAATGTAAATATATGTATAATAAGTAAAATTATGTGTTGACAAAACAAAAAGAGAAGTATGGAAAATGTGAAGGTATTTTATTTCAGTTCGAAATTATTTAACAAAAAGGTGGCCCAAATCGGGCCTGTAATGATCCTGTCTCAAGCATCTCTCACACTGGCCTTGGGCCATCAGGCAATGATGCCTTGAGATATATATATATAGATATGTGTGTGTGTATATATACACACTAATAGGGCTGCACAATATTTCGTTATTAATTTTATTGAAATATTTATGCTAAGAAGACTATGCAGTTATTTTACATTTAATTATTTAATTTGTATACGTTTCTTGTATATTAGTTTATTTTATTGTATGGAGATCAATCTAAAATACATAATTCTTTCCAAATAATTATTCAAGTCATCTAGTAAAACTGGATTCATATCGCAAAATATTTTGCAGAGCAAAAAAGCATTGCCATGTTAGATTTTTCCGATATTGAGCAGCCCTAATACTTAATATATTTCACTGTTCTTGTTTAAATGTAATCCCAGGTGAAAAGAAAGTGTACTTAAGTTGTATTTTTTGACGAAATTATCATATTTTAATTGTACTATACTAAGTGGATATTAAATGTGTTATTTTGGAACAACTTCAAGCATATTAATTGTTATTTTTTATTTATATTTAAGATTAACTTTAAGCTATTTGAAATATGTTATAACCAGCCTGATCTCACGAGGAAACATAATTATTTTACGTTTTGTCAGTTTAGTGGCTAATTCGTAAGAGTTCAGTATTATTTTAAAAGGGAGGCATGGCACCCAATCCTTTATAGTGGTAAAGGAGTCGTCTGATTGGTGAATCAGTGTAAGCTAATGTGGACCAGCTGCTATCAATCATAAGCACATGCTCCTCTCGAAATTAGTTTATAAATAAACTTCACTTACTATTTATCTGTGGACTGTTTTGTGATTGTTTTTATTTATTTTTATTTTTTTTGAAGTGTTTGGTGTCTGCCCTGACCACTGCCTGCCTTTCTGCATTTGGCTTTTGATGACCCTCATGTTACTGCTTGTTCCTGTTGACCCTGTCTACTCTATCTCCGTGTACGCATTCGTAACAGAACCAACTCCAAAACAGGAGCTAATCTAACAAAATTCCTTAAAATCACAATGCAAAATATAGAACATCCAGATGAATATGTTAGATGAACATCTTAAATACAAGTTTAATAAAGGCAAAATAATTGACAGAACCATAAAAATATTAAATTAGTTTAGAAGTCAGTTTAAATGAATTATCGCTCTATTTCAAAAAGATGTTAGGTGACCAAACTCTTATTTTAATGGAAATATATGTTTGATAAAACTGTTTTGCTTAAATGCACCAAAATATATTGTTGGAGCCATTTCTTTCTTTTATTATTTTATTATGTTTGGATTTAACAGGTTGGTTGGATATGATAATTATTAAGTTTACATTTAATAAGTATAATTTTAAGTGTTTGCTTTTTGTATACTATTCAAGTTGGAGAATTTGCTTTATTGTTTTTTGGATTTTGTGAATGAAGACTTTTATTCTGTCGAAATTGAGATTTAAGGCAGCCGGGTAGTCGGTGGGGCAGGAAACAAATTTCAGACAGTAACTGCGTCCCAAATCACATACTTAAGCACTATTCTATGCCATTTTGTAGTATAAATAGTGTAGGTAGTGTGTTCACACTGAAAACTCTAATAATAATAAGTGCACTTTAATTACCCGGATGATGCACTCATTCAGCCGGTAAAATGAAGTGTGGACCGATGGACACTTCACGCACTCAACGACCACAGGTTTGCTCACGTAGCGAAAGGGGTGGAGCTATCGGGCGCATATGTTGGATAACTTTATTTATTTTGGATGGTGAAAGCAAAATTCTCCTACGAGAGTGATTATAGCGCCTCCCGATGGTGAATGCGGCAATACTCACGGCAGGTATTATTGGATAATTCGGTCGTTTATTTCACTGATTTGGCAAACGTCAAACATCATCAGGGAAACGGTTTGAATTTCTGCTTAGTAAAAACATTAGTGTGCCATTTGGGACAACACTACATATACTACCCTGTTGAGTGTGTAAGTGCATAAGTACATAGTGCATGAGTGCATAGTGTGCTTTTTGGGACGCAGCTAGTGAGTTTGTATGTAGTGGCAGGTGCTATTACACTGATTCGACAGCACAAGATGTGATGAGAAAATGTTGTACAACGGACTCATGTGTCATTGTTTACCCTTACCTAGATAGCGGCTCAAAGCAAAAATGCCGCTACATATATAGTTCATATTCACTGAGAAATTAATAAAATATATAATTTTTGAAGGGGATGTGCTCATTTATGCTGAGCACTGTAATGTTAATAGAGTGATGTCGTGCCACTGGCTTGCCTGGATTGAGCTGCGCATTTTGCTCTTCAGTGTTTAGACATTCAGCAGTGAAAATTAAACCACACTGAACTGAACTTCAACTCTGAAAACTAAACTGACACAGTTTAAATTTACTAGAACTTCTATGTGAAGCCGCTTTGACACAATCTACATTGTAAAAGCGCAATAGAAATAAAGATGAAGTGAATAAACCTCACTGATAAAAATAGAATATCTGCACTCCATTCACTAAAATGGCATATGATTTATTCATTCATTCATTTTTTTTTTGGCTTAGTCCCTTTATTAATCCGGGGTCGCCACAGCGGAATGAACCACCAACTTATCAAGCATGTTTTTATGCAGCGGATGCCCTTCCAGCTGCAACCCATCTCTGGAAAACAAGATGTGTTTACAAATATAAATATAAATTCCCAAAAAGTCCCTTTATCCATGTAGATAAACAAGTCTTCATTGTGGCAAACTTAAAACAGGGCAGTAATAATGCCAAAACAATATCAAATTGACACTGATGTCAAAAAACATATCAAGAGTGCAAATCGATTTGATGTCAAAACCCTGCACTGCATGTGAAAAAAGCTTCTCTTACTTTGAGTTTTTGTCTTGTTTCTAGTCCAAATATCTAAAAATACATAAATCATGAAGCATTTTCTAAACAAGTAAAAATATTGTATTATTTTCAGAACTTATATGCAAAACTTTCATTAGTTTTTCCTTAAAACAACCAAAGTAAATCTGCCAATTGGATAATAAAATTAATCTTATGTGAAAATGAAGGACAAGATTATTTTTCTTACCTTATTGATAGATTATTTAGCTTGTTTTAAGGAAAAACTCACTTCATTTTAACATATTATTTCTGAAAACAAGACAATATTTTTGGCTTGTTTAGAAAATGCTTCTTGATTTAGGAATTTTAGATATTTAGACTAGAAAAAAGACAAAAACTCTTAAGTAAGAGCAGCATTTTTTTACACTACCTAACAAAATTCTTGTCGGCTATCCAAGTTTTAGGAACAACAAATAATAAGTTGACTTCTAGTTGATCATTTGGTATCAGACGTGGCTTATATGAAAGGCAAAGGCCTCTAGATGATACTTATTGACCAAAATAAAATCTGATCATGCCTTGATTTTGAATGATTTCATTAGGACAGTAAGGTTTGACTTTGCTCAGACTAAAGTCTCGTCACTGAACAGAAATAATGTCCAGTATAGAATATAAAGTCCTGCTGCAGTGGAGACAGAATGAATATTGTGTCTGACTCCATCATGAGCTTGGAGGACTGCATCCATACATCTCTGACATGACTCAAATCACTGATTAATAAAGTCATCTGGAATGAAGAAGAAAGCCGTGCAGGACTCCCAGAGCTCATCAAGATTCTTTGTGTTCATCTTCAATGCCTCCTCCTTCATCTTACCCCAGCCATGCTCAATAATGTTCATGTCTGGTGACTGGGCTGGCCAGTCCTGGAACAGCTTGACCTTCTTTGCTTTTAGGAGCTTTGATGTGGAGGCTGAAGTATGAGCAGGAGCGCTATCCTGCTGGAGAATTGTCCCTCTCCTGTGGTTTGTAATGTAATGGGCAGCACAAATGTCTTGATACCTCAGGCTGCTGATGTTGATCATCCACTCTGCAGATCTCTCGCACGCCCCCATACTGAATGTAACCCCAAACCATGATCTTTCCTTCACCAAACTTGACTGATTTCAGTGAGAATTTTGGCTCCATGCTGGTTCCAGTAGGTCTTCTGCAGTATGTGTGATGATTGGGATGCAGATCAACAGATGATTCATCAGAAAAATCCACCTTCTGCCACTTTACCAAATGATCAGCTAGTTGCTCTTTCAACTGGGATCGATGACAAGACTTTTGTCAGGTAGTGTAGTGTGTCGCTGATACATCTGACATCCACACATTAATGATACAAAAATAATGATACCAGAAGTTATTATATAACTTATAATATTACCAGTATTATAATACACAAAATGTTTTATTCATATGAAAGCTTTAGTTAGAAACTACAGATTTGCATGCATGTAAATTACCTTGATGTCAAAAAGACATTTAAAACACGTCAATCGATTACAGGACTGTCTTAATAATAATCGATGTGTGTTGTTTTATGCCAATGCTCATCGTGATATCCTTTTGACATCAAGGTAGTCAATTGACATCAAATCGATTAGCATTTTTGCCATATTTTTTATGTCGTTTTGACTCTCTAACCAGTTAAACTCCGCGGTCGTCATCGACCTTCGCTTTAAGATATAAAGGGCTAGCATTGCACCAGACCTTTGCACTTTGAAAGTGTAGAATCTATATTTTATGCACATATGCATCACTTTGGTTTTTATTCTACATTACCAAAGTTATTTACACCTAAATACACAGTATTTTGGATACCCGAGCTGGGTATTGAACATTGGCTCATTTTCATATTTTTCATATGACACATGTACAAGTTATAGCTCAAATGAAAGCTCTTGCCGGTGCTCATACGGTTTTGGCGTTCTTTTGACTGAATTATATTCACATATCAAACAGGTGCCAAATGAATCGCGGTGTTTACATGGCGCAGAAGTGAAAACAATACATTCATGATCAATAAGCAGCCCCAGATAGCACAGACAGCTGTCGTCTCTTACCTTATGCTGTGCGCTTCAGGGCCATTTCTCCCCTGTTTTTGAGGTGATGTGCGTAAGTAATCCTTTTATATGTCTGACGTGCTCCAAACACAGTGAATTATGTTTGATCAAACAAAAGAATAGTGAAAATGAAAGCAATGATCGCTCCCTGTGGATTGTACAGCACCTCTCATCAGTTGGAATACAATAACTTTAGCATAGATTATGGTGGAGACATTTTTCTTTTTTCCTATGATTACAGACATGTGCAGGAACCACCAAAATTAATTACAGCACGCTAAACCAGCCAGAAAATAAAAGGTACACTTTCAAATTAGAGTTTAAAAAAAAAAAATACAAAAAGCGCCTCTATTTTTAGGTGTTTATTATAACACAGACAACATATACAGGTATTTTAAACACTTTCAATAGTGTTTTATGAAAATTCAAAGGGTTTTCTTTAAAATGAGACCAAATTTTTGGCATTTTTGGATTTGGGAAGCTTTTAAATTTGGGTAGGCAAAATCTAGGCGGAAATCCTAAAATAACAGCAGAGTTTAACTGGTTAAGAGAGTCAGAGCAACGCTCACGCTAATTAAAAATCTTTAAAATGTCTCACCTTTCGATGAGAAACAAAACCCACCAAAAGACATACAGAGAAAATGGGCGAAATCGAGAACCCAATTGCTATTCCACCCAGCTCTCGTGACGGGCAAAATGAAACCTGTGGAGCGCTCCAAGCATCTGGCTGAAAACCCCCCCACGACTAAACACACCACCAAATGTTTACACAGGTTTTCCACAGCCAGGATCTCAATCCTAGACTACCTGTCGCTCCCTATTAATAATAAACAGCATCCGCGACCAAAGTTTCCACCAAAATAACCAACACAAGCACCTGCGCCTCACATGGTGTTGCATGTGCATTGTGACGCTGCTGCTTACATTCTGAAAACGTATGTTTTGCGCCCAGATGTGCATGACGGGATGCAAGACCCCATTTAAAAGAACGACATGCATCATTAACACAAGTTGCACGGCCAAAGTTGGAGGTCAAAATAGAGGCTTCTGCTGCAGAGGAGCCAACGAACGTCGCAGACAAAGGCAATGAGATCAACAAACTCACAAATGCACCATTTTCCTCCAGAGGTGTGAGGGTTATTGAATGCATGCACATTCATTTCAGATTGGTGCTTGGTCTTACCTTCGCTGGGTTCTGGATGCGGAGCCGTGCCCTGTGATGCTGTTTTAACGCTGCCCGTCTCTACAGTGTGGCTCAACACATTCACATGCTGTTACCATGACGATGGGAAGTGGGCTGCTTGCTTCCTCTATGAGTTCAAGTTCGCTGAATGCTGAGCGAAGAGAGAGAGAGAGAGAGAGAGAGAGAGACATATTATATAAACAGCAAATCCTTAGAGACCCTGGAAAATTCAGTCGTCAAAAACAGCCAGCAATGCACAGTGCCAGCATAAAGTCTCACACAGAAACTGACACCATGATCCATCGCAATGTGATGTAGGCTATATGATGAATCCAGATGCTTGACATTGAGTCATGTTTGATCATATGTTAGCTACATGCTCAATATAGATGATCAACCACTGTGAAAATGAGATGCAATAACCTAGAGATTTTAGAAATGGTGACTTCATAATTGATATGTTATGTAACATTGGGACTGTACCATCTGATGCCATAGGCAGGACCAAACGCAAGCCCACCAGCTGTTTCCATTAAAACAAACGCTGTGTGTTTTGTGCAGCGCTGCGGCGAGGAACGAGCGGCAGTCATAAACACTGACACTTCTCATGCGTGTCACTGCAGAACTGAACGCCTGTGATTGCGAGTTGGTTCCACCCGTCTTCAGCAACAGACGTGTGCAATTGTTCTGCGTTTCTCCACATTTGGACAACAGAGGTGGTGTGAGAGCGTGTTTGAAGAGGTGTGAAATATATAATCATTCTGTATTACACAACTCTGTTGCATAACAAGCCCTGTTTGATGGTAAAACTTGAGGATATTGGCTGTAGAGCTGCACTTGTTCACAGCAGGAGCTCAGACCAGAGGCTGTTTTACTGGCAGCGAGCTGATGGACGGCTCATTCTGTCTGATTTACAGCATCCTTCAAGGAGACTCATGTGCAGACTATTGAAGAACATCAATGTCTATCTATCTATCTATCTATCTATCTATCTATCTATCTATCTATCTATCTATCTATCTATCTATCTATCTATCTATCTATCTATCTATCTATCTATCTATCTATCTATCTATCTATCTGAATAGCTATCTGTCCATCTGTCCATCCATCTATCTGTCTGAATGTCTATCCATCCATCCATCCATCCATACGTCCGTCCGGCAATCCATCCATCCATCTATCCATCCATCCATTCATCCATCTGAATATCTATCTATCTGTCCGTCCGTCCATCCATCCATCCATCCATCCATCCATCCATCCATCCATCCATCCATCCATCCATCTATCCATCCATCCATCCATCCATCCATCCATCCATCTGAATATCTATCTATCCGTCCATCTGTCCATCCATCCATCCATCCATCCGTCCGGCAATCCGTCCATCAATCTATCTATCCATCCATCCATCCATCCATCCATCTGAATATCTATCTATCTGTCCGTCCGTCTGTCCATCCATCCATCCATCCATCCATCCATCCATCCATCCATCCATCCATCCATCCATCCATCCATCTGAATAGCTATCTGTCTGTCTGTCCATCTATCTATCTATCTATCTATCTATCCATCCATCCATCTATCTATCTATCTATCTATCTATCTATCTATCTATCTATCTATCTATCTATCTATCTATCTATCTATCTATCTATCTATCTATCTATCTATCTATCTATCTATCTATCTATCTATCTATCTATCTATCTATCCATCCGAATATCTGTCTATCTATCTATCTGTCCGTCCGTCCATCCATACATCCATCCATCCATCCATCCATCCATCCATCCATCCATCCATCCATCTGAATAGCTATCTGTCCGTCTGTCCATCTATCTATCTAAATGTCCATCCATCCATCCATCCCTCCATCCATCCATCCATTCATACGTCCATCCATCCATCCATACGTCCGTCCGGCAATCCATCCATCCATCCATCTATCTATCCATTCATCCATCAATCCATCCATCCATCCATCCATCCATCTATCTATCTATCTATCTATCTATCTATCTATCTATCTATCTATCTATCTATCTATCTGTCTGTCTGTCTGTCTGTCTGTCTGTCTGTCTGTCTGTCTGTCTGTCTGTCTGTCTGTCTGTCTGTCTGTCTGTCTGTCTGTCTGTCTGTCTGTCTGTCTGTCTGTCTATCTATCTATCTATCTATCCGAATATCTGTCTATCTATTCGTCTGTCCATCCATCCATCCATTCATCTGAATATCTATCTATCTGTCTGTCCATCCATCCATCCATCCATCCATCCATCCATCCATCCTACCATCCATCCATCCATCCATCCATCCATCTGAATAGCTATCTGTCCGTCTGTCCATCTATCTATCTAAATGTCCATCCATCCATCCATCCATCCATCCATCCCTCCATCCATTCATCCATCCATCCATCCATCCATCCATCCATCCATCCATCCATCCATCCATCCATCCATCCATCCATCCATCCATCTATCTATCTATCTATCTATCTATCTATCTATCTATCTATCTATCTATCTATCTATCTATCTATCCATCCATCCATCCATCCATCCATCCATCCATCCATCCATCCATCCATCCATCCATCCATCCATCCATCCATATGAATAGCTATCTGTCTGTCTGTCCATCTATCTATCTGAATGTCTATCCATCCATCCATCTATCCATCCATCTATCCGTCTTATTAAATGTATTCAGTTGTGAAGGGTGCTTTTCATTTTCTACTGTGTTGTTTTAATTGTGTACCAGTGCAGTGTCATTTCATCATCCATTGCATCTTTAGGTGAAAGACCAAACCGACACACACAATGTTATGCATAGTAGTATCCGCATTTTTGTTAAGCGACACTGAAAAGATGCTGAGATGATAATGAAGAAGATTTTATTCTCTCAGTGTGAAGTATAAAGTGCTGTTTTCTCTTCTCAAAATGTATGTAGTGTTTGCAACAAACATGCCAGCCTGTGTTGAAAATACAGTGATATGTCTGTGTAAGATGAGTACGCCTGCACAGGAGCAACACTAGGAGAAGGCTATGCTGAAGAAGATTGTGTAGAATAACTGAATATGTAAAGCACTGATTATATATGTTAAATACCTGTATGAAGCTATATGTGTCAGAAGCTAGAGTGAGTAACATGTTATCAAGTGATTATGCTATCATGACAATGTATGTAAACACTTAGTCCTTTTGCATAAGTTGCATCTATGGAGAGAGAACTTTGGTTTCAAAACAGTTGCTGACATGACATAGACCTGTGACATCTCGCTGACCATAGCAAGCTGGCAGAGAGCCAAGAATAGCAGGACCACTTAGAGTAGAAACCTATTCAAACATGGTCAAGAGTTAAAATGAGACACCTAGGGGTGTGTCAAATAACCTGTATAAAGATTGTGGAAAACACAGAGACTTTAGAAGGAGCAGAGAAAGATAGGAATTTTCCAGGAGAGACTTCAGAATGCTCTGGGATCTGCTCTGCTCTTTCTCGGCTTTATTATGGAGAATAAAGTCAATTTTCTGATATTTAAAACCTCCGTTCTGATAATTTCTATCTGAAAAGAAGTCGAAATACGACAATAACTCATGAATGTTCAACAGTAGATAAAGCCCTAGATATTTGTCATCGCTCTACACATTTAGCAGTTCAGTTTCAGTGCCCGTTCTCCATGACAGGTCACATGCAGCGCAACGCCCTGTGTTCATTGATTCTTGGCCAAATTCTCAGCAAACCCTGAAAACCGAAGTGTGAGGCACTCCCTTTAAATAGAGGAAGCACATTTGCTCAAGCGCAGAGTAACAGGAAAGACAGAGCCTAACTTTTAGATTGCTTAAAAGCTGAACGGAGGTCATGGCCAAAGTCAAGAAAACACCTAAGGAGGATTTGAAACCACAACATATGAAATAAAGACAACACCCAACTACAACTTCTCCTTTTATTAAGGTTATTTGAGTCGATATTTTACTAAAAGAGTAAAGCCTGAATGGTTTTCAGATAATGTTTGATCATTAGAAGAAAAAAGAAAGGGTGTCACGGTGGCGCAGTGGATAGCTCGATAGCCTCACAGTAAAAAGATCACTGGTTTGAGTCCCGGATGGATGGGTGAATGGATAGATAGATAGATAGATAGATAGATAGATAGATAGATAGATAGATAGATAGATAGATAGATAGATAGATAGATAGATAGATAGATAGATAGATAGATAGATAGATAGATAGATAGACAGATAGACAGATTCGACTGGCGCATTTGTATTACATTCCTTTTTACTTTCCTTAATTACAGTTTTGTCTTGTTTTTAGTCCAGACGGATAGATATAAATCAAATATAATTCACAAGATGACTTAAGCAACTGTATTAGAAAGTATTTTGTAATAATTTATAAATAATAATTAGCAGTTCAAATGTCATATATTCAGATGTGAAACAACACTGTATGGTCACTTAATTTAATAAATTTCTTCCTTGTATAAATAAACACAATTAATCGTTGGTAAAGTGGCAAACTTGATAGTTTCTTGTGCTCAAATGGTTTAAATTCACTTGAAATCTTACAGCCACAGGCCTTAAAAACACATCCAAATAAAGATAAAAAACGTTCACACTACTATATTAAAACAGAATATAGTGCAGCCCTAAAGGATGGATGGATGGCTGAATGGATGGATTGAAAATCATGGAAATTTTGCAAAGTGAACAGCCATGTTTTACAGCTGCATAAAACAAGTCCGACATTTTAACAATGTAAACAAACAAAACAGACGCATAAAATATCACCACCAGCTTGCTTAGCTTGAATAAGACAATCAGCCTGATCAATCAGAACTACTCCTTTACCAAGTCTAAACACATGCAATAGGGGAATTGATGATTATAATGTTTGATTGTAAGAGTGTATGGGTGTTTCCCAGCGTTGGGTTGCAGCTGGAAGGGTATTTGCTGCGTAAAACGTATGCTGGCTAAGTTGTCGGTTCATTCCGCTGTGGCGACCCTTGAATAATAAAGGGACTAAGTCGAAGAGAACATGAACTATCCCTTTAACTGAGAATAGAATAAACAGATAACTTCAGCTGTGTATTTGTGTGTTTGTGTGTGTGTGTGTGTGTGTGTGTGTGTGTGTGTGTGTGTGTGTGTTTTAAATATGAGAACAAGAGAATGATTCAGCACCCTGTGGAAATGAATAGCAGATCAGTCTGAATCTTAAACATATATATTAGATTCTGAAAAACCCGCAGTGACTAAAGACGGAGATTCTTCTTTACTTTGGTGGAGAGACAGGCTGTGGGCGGCTCTGCTGTGGCATATATTCAGAGATGGATTAATTCTGCTCCCAGTTTTCAAAAGATAAAATCCATAGAGCAAATAGAAGATATTACTGCAACACTTTAAAGTAC